CACCAGCTCATTGCTTGGTCAAGAGACATGACTAAGCCTTTATGACATGGAAGTAGCTGGTATACCTTGGCATGTGCTGGAACCTGCTGGAAGGATTGGATGGTCAGGTGACCTGCTGTGCATGGCTGTGCATGACCTCATATGACCTCATCCTTGGTCATATGACCTGATCACCTGACTAGGCTGAGTAAGCAAGATGTTCTAGCAGGTTCCACCACAGAGGTATAAATATAAGGCCTACTCTGCCTGGGGACTGTCTCTTCAGACTTGGTCTCTTAGGATCATCCACAGATACCTATACTGTAGATAGGTCTTAGTCATCAGGTCTACTCCACTTCCTTGTTGCCTGCTTAGACTCTTGGCACTCTTAGGTGAGCAGACTTAGTCAGCCTGTGTTGCCCTAACACAATGCCAGAACCACCATCTAGGATGCAGGCAATGGGTGTGTCATAGTCGCCAATTAAACAGTTGATTTGCCATAGGGGTACCATGTCTTTGCTGACTAACAAACTGTTGATGTCTTCTGAAATGCCTTCAATCTGGTATATCAGAGCCTCACCATCTTGAACCTTGGTCACCTGAATAACATCTGAAATAATCAGTTTCTTGCTGTAAGCTTCCTTGAGCACCTTGTTGAAGAGGGGACATGCCAATGCTAGGACCTTACTGGGGACTTGGACTGGAGTTTTGGTGAGAGTAACCATGAGAGCTCACAAAACCATTTCATCTTCTGCATTTTCTGCACATTTGGTGCAGGGTTTCAGTGGGTCTGGCATGGTATCCAGCTTCTCCAGTTCATCCACCCATACACCAGCGAAGTGTGCAGTACTATGATGCATCCATCCATCCAACTTCTCTTTTCTAGCTGCTGGTGTGTAGACTTCAGAAACTTGAGCCAAATTTCCTGTGGATGCTGACTGCTGTTTCCTGAAGCATTCTGCCTCAGCCATGAGCACCTTGATCTCCTTGTCGTTCCATTCCACCATGTCATCTTGATTTTTGGCTAGAAGGTGCAGCACCAAATGATCCACCATAACCTCAAATTCAGAGTCCAAACTGAGGTCTTTGATAATCACATTATGAAAGGCAATGAGAGGAGTCTGCTGCGATTTCAGATGGTGTTCTGGGTGGTCCTTGTAGTAACTGTCAACTTTTTCTTGAGATCCCAACCATGCCAATGACATGGGATAAATCAGCCACCAGTAAGGACATGATATGGGCTGTCTTTCTCAAGGAGACCCTCTTCCAAGTATTTCCAGGCTCCTGGGCATGTCGCAATCTTGTCTGTGCAACCAGTAGATACACTGTCAAAGTGGCAGAGCATGCATTCAGTATTCTGGGGGCTGTATCCATTTTGATTTGGGTAGTTCTCTGCTGGGACAGGAACCTGATTCGTGCCAGTAGCTGGTGTGCTGTTGCCATAGGTATTTTGCAAGGGTTGTCCGTAAGAGGTCTGCTGGGCAGCTGGTTGGTTCTGCATGGTGGGTTGCTGGTTCATGAGTGTGTAGATCTGGGAAACCATTCCTTCCAGGTTAGCCATGCATCCAGTAATATTGGCGACCTGTGGGTTGCTCTCCATTTTGACATTTTCCAATGTCAGTGCTGGTGTTGCATTCTGGGAATAATTGGGGGTCAGTGTTCAAACCTTTATTGTAGTGTTGCCCAGTGCCCATTCCACTGTTTTCTTTAATTCAGCCATTGTCCATGGTTTGTCCACAGCCCTGTCATATTTCTGTTTGAGCCTGTTCAACATCTGGTCCCAAATGCAGCTTTCAGTGGGTGGGAATTTGAGTACACGGAGGAGGGCTTTTTGCTGGTTGAGGACAGAAATTTGGTTGTGCCTAATGAGCCAGGTGGAGATGGAGTAGAAGTCCCAGTAGAATTTGGTGAATTCACCTTTAGTCTTAATCTAGTATTGCCACTTGTGAACAAGGTCGTCAAGGTCCCGAGTTGCATACCGGTGTTTGTTATTTGCTGTGCCAGGATAGTACTTTAGGATTTCAGTCTTGAAATCCTTGTACGATTCCTTTTTCCCTTCTTCCATGCTGTTGTGGATCTGTGCCCATAATTCATATGTGTTGTTGTTGGTGTAAAAGCAGGCCCAGTCGATCTTGTCTCCTCCACCAGTGACAGCAGGTTCACACAAGCCAAATAGTTTTTCCAGGGCTGCAAAATAATAGGTGATGCCAAGAGGTGTTGAAGAAAAGCAGGGGGCTGAGGGAGACTCCCTGCCCATGGGCATTGTGCATTTGCTCACCATGAGGAGTTGTTGCACTGCATCCACTATATTGGTATTGCTCCTGCTTGAAGAAGTTGATGATACTTCTGTGTCATCCAAAACTGTGGGTGTTTCTCGGAGTGCAGTACATCAGGCTTGCCATTCATCCCTGAGCTTGTTTTGTTGGTCTATAGCAGAGGTGGGTACTGGGGTACGGGAAGCCAGTATTGAAAATTGGAGGAGGAGTTCTCGCCTCAGCAGCACTTAATCAGTAAAAGCTGCCTTACATTGGGCTCCAATGTGATCTGACCCAAAAGGTGTCCAAAATATTGGTCTGATGGGTAGTGTGCAAGAACTTGCTAGGGAAAGAGGGGAGAGATGGGGAAAATCAGTGGAAACACTGGGGTCAGCCTGAAGCTGAGCTGTCAGAAATTGGTTGGTAAATCAGAGCTCAATGTCTATCTAGTCAAGTGTTGCAATAAGTCAAGTTGAGTATGCTGAGTCAAGTCAAACCTGCCTATCCAGCAAGGGGATAATTGGATCCATATAATGCTAACAGAAAAGGGGCAGAATAAGCTAGATACAGGAGTTTCTGGAAATTACTTATACTAGCTAATCTAAACTGTACTCTATACTAAACTGGTCTCTGGATACCTCTCTAGGGCAAGCATTGGCATGCCAAATATCTGTGTGGGTCGATCCTGTTGCAGGGGAAACCTGCAGTTGTCATGCCAAATATCTGAGTGGTCCTGTTGCCTGGGAAATTGTAGTCATTGCCATGCTGAATATCTGGGGGAGTCAAGACCTGTCGCTGGGGTGTGTTGTCCTGTGTAGTGAGGGTCTGTAGTGCTGTGCAATGGTCTCTAAGGACCGAAAATAGCTGTGGGAATATCAGCCTGACACACCCCACTGGAGGTGGGGTTGTTCAGCATCCATTGAGCTGTGCTGGATCTCCTCTTGGTAATGTGTGGTCACTTTGCATTCTTGCAGGTGCAGTTGCAGTTTCATAGTCATGCATCCTCCTAACATGCAGTCATGTTGCATGTTAACACAGCACAAGATGTCCTAACAGGAATGATCCCCATTTGTTTTGCACTGGGAGAAGAGTAGCAAACTCACCTGTGGAGAGCAATGCTTCTAGTCTCCCGTGCTGACCAATTGTGGACATATTAGAGCTGGATCCTCTCACCCAACAGTGAACACTTCAAGTAGGACCATACCTGTCACAGGGAAGCATTCTATCAGGGAATCATTGGCATTGGGGAGGAGAAGTTCAATGACCCTAGCAATCTGTTGCTGCATCTAGTCAGCATGTTGCTTTCAAAATCAGCCAATCACTGACCTGTTTATGACCAGGGGACATGCAAATAACAAAAGCAAAAAGAGGCACTTTGTCTCCATTCTGAGCTGTCATACTGGAGGCTAACCAAACTCACAGGTCCCATTGTTCAGCTATCTGGCAGTGTCAGTGTGTTTGTGTCTCCTTGAGCTTTACTGTTGGGAGGGTGTAATTCAAATGAATAGTGCCTGATGTGAATATATCAGTTTCACCTCCTTGAAATGGCTCAAATGACTCACTGAAAGACTTGGGAATATGGTCAGCTGCACAGCCCACAGCCTGCAACAGACTGGGGAAGGACTACCAGCTCAGCCATCAGCTGGGGTGAGGCTGACTTGTACATCCCTGTTCCTTATCAAGCCACCATCCTCCATTGATAAGGTGAAGCACTCTGTCAAGATGGGCAAAACTGGTTGCTATATTGGGCTGGGTGATTGATGGTTACTATTGACGGAGCAAGTTCTGAAGACCAAGTTATATGATTTGTATCGCTCAGTTGTGAACCCAACTGCTGGGCCACATCTTTGGATATCATCTGTAGCATGCAGCAATATGTGCAGCTTTGGCTTAGATATCATCTTGATTGGGTCCAGATGGGCTATAGCATGAACCAGTGAGGTAAGAGCTTGTTGGAGCTCAGCCTGGATAAGCAGTATTAGCAGGCAGGTTAAGACAAGAGCAAGCAAAGTTGAACAGGCCCCGTTGACCACTACATCTCCAACTCTCATAGAGAGCAAGATAAGCAGTCTCCAAGCTCCGGCAACCAGTACATCTCCAACTCTCATAGAAAGCCAGATGGGGATCATATGCTTGATTTGGCTTACCAGGTAAACTTCCTTGACCTTGATGTTGTACTGCCACAGCAAGGCTCCTGTGAGACCAATCATCACCCATGCTTTGAGCAACTCCGGCACAACCATGTCCCATAGCACAAATGGCATACATTGCACAAGCATCTTGAGGTGCTTCCCAATCAAAGCACACTGGTGTTCCATGATGTACTTGGCATTGAGCTTTGGGAGGTTCCAGCCTTCTTTTTGCAGCAAGTTCATGCAAGCTTCAATGAGGGAAAGCAGGTCTTGAGATCTATCCTTCTCCAAATGGTCAACAGTGATACTGAATGTGTACTTGACAAGTCTGAGCAAGTAGGTGTGCAAGATCTTGTTGGGTGTACTAATACTGAGCTTGAGATCTGGAATATTTTGAGCATTGATGAAAACAGAGATACAAGGAGATCATACAAGCAAGGTGAAGCAGAGGGTTCACTGCATCCAACCCACTGCAGTCCCAGAGTTCTTCCTGTAATTTGAGGTGCATCTGCTTGACGTGCCTCTGTCCCTTCCATCTCTTATTCCCTGAGTTCAGCAAGTCCAGGATGATCAGCCATGCATACTTGTCAGTAACTCCCATCTTCTGAGATCAAGCAGTAATGCTACTTCCTTGTCAAGGATATGTTGCTGCAGCTCACAAACAACATTCAGCGTCTGCTGAGAGGTACAAGGTTCACTGAGCTAGCCGCTCCTCTCAGTATCTTCAAAGAATGGATGGCTTACCCATGACTTACCTGAAACAGAGACACATACCCCTCAGAACTGTGCTTGTACTCCTGCGTACGGCTGATGTGACATTGCTGGCAGAAGTGATTAGCCCTCAAGCCACGATGGCCACAGAGATCTGCTTGCATCGGATTGTCACCTGCAACAATTGCAACCCAGATCGTGAACAACACCAGTGCTTGAGTAACTGCATTGTATGGCCAGTTAAATTGATTGTCCTAAACAGAGGGGAGAGGTAAGCAGAGCTCTGCAACAGGGAGATAGTAGTTGGAGATGTAGTGGTCAGCAAGCTTCACAGAACCACTTTGGGTCAAAGAGAATGGGATAGACCCACTGTATCATCAAGACCACCCCTTCCATGAGCTCCAGAGCAGTTGCATGAGGAGAGGTGCTGATGAATCAAATGTTGCTCGCAAGCTCGAGTTCTTGGTGAGGCATAGCTAGATTCAACACACACACATTGTAATGCTTATACCATTGCTTTGAGCAGTTGCCCAAGACATCATCCTCCCATATCATGAGAGGCAGTGAGTAGACTAGATGACCATTAGCCTGCTCTTGCCAGGGATTTGGCATTGCCTTAGCAATTGCACTGTAGCAGTCTAGGGGTTGTTAACCTCAGGAATGAAGCAAGCTGCAAAAGCACTTACTGGGAAACCTGAGTATGCTTGCATTGAGATATGATGCAAGCTTGTGCCAGTTGTTCATGAATGTCTTGGCCTTGCAGAGTGACAGCTTTGGGTGTAGAGTACTGGGGACAATCCCCACTTTGCTGATTGGAGAGAGCAGATCATCCAGTGCCAGATGCACATCATGACCAAAAGCACCCATCTCTCGCTTCACACTGCCAAACTGCACCCAGTGCTTTGGCAGGAAATAGCTGCCGTCAGTACATAGGACCAGCTTGTCAACAAACCAAGGCCAAGAGTCAAAGATCATCATTGGTGTAAGACAATTATCTGGAGCTTTGATCAACCATAGAGTGCCATGCCAGAACTCTTGGAGCTCTGTGGTACTGACTACAGGGCAAAATTGCATATTTGCTCACTTGACTGGGTTGGAGAGGTCCTGGTCAACAGTGAACCCAGTACTTAATAAATATAGGGGCAGCCACCTAACCTTTGCCAATAAGCTCGCTAGATCCTGCTCATAGTAGATATTGTTGTGGAGTGAAACAAATCTCTTGATTGGATCGCCCAGCTGGAGAAGGGACTCGCAAGTGCAACATCGCTGCTGTGAGGCATTTGGCACAGAGCAGCTGAAAGCAGTCATGATGCTGCAGATAAGTGACTGCATCTTGACGGAGAAGTGGATATGATGGAGATGGAAGAGTACATCCAGGAGGAAGAGCTAGATATTGATCAGCTCACAGACAAATAATACATTAACCTGCTCTGAGAGTTGGAGATGTAGTGGTCAGCAAAGTGCCACTGACCTCTCCACTCTTTGCTCAGGGCAAGAAGTACATGATTTGACTTACCTCCTTGCTAGCATACAGCCACCAAGAAGGATCAATGTGGGGACTGAACAACTTGAAAACCATGTGCTCTATATCAGACCAGTGAGGATGTTTGCAGCAAAGGATGCCTCAAGAAACAGACCTTCACATTCCTCCCAATCCCTTGTACTGGTGTCCTGTAGACAAAGAAGGTTGTGGTAACAGAGGAGCTGCATTTGGTGGAGGTCGAGTTTGCATGATTGCTGCATGCAATGAGTAAGATTGAGACCAGTGCCAAAGATGAGGGCAGCCCCATCAACACCCCAGACATCTCTCCTCTGTCCCCTGCTATCATATCTGTATCCTCCTCATTTAAGGACCAATCCATGGGCTGATCAGACAGACTGCTGTAGGTTGACTGATCAACTTCATTTCATTGCTCAATGGCCTCAGCAAGCTTTCAGGACTGATTCTGCAGCTGGATATTGAGTAAGCGAGCAAGTTCACTCACTTGCTGGTGCTGGCGGGTCTGAGCATGAACATACAGCTGATCTTGTTGCTGGAATCAAGTTAAGATCCCTCCTCAACATATGTGACATCTGCCTCAAGTCCTGCTAGCATTGAATTGGAAGTCTGTATGGGGTTGAGCATATCACAAGAGCATGAGCTATGACATTCACCTCATGTAATATTTGCAAGGGAACTCAGCAGAGCAGCCATAAAAATGAACAGGAGGGAAATATTTCATTAATAGATGTGCATGTCAGCCAGGGATTGCATGTGGATGCCCAGCTCCCTTCGGAAGCTGTACCATTGGTGTCATTCAGCAGTTTACATCTCCCACCTCCTCAGTGATTGCCAGCAAGACTAACATGGCAACAACATGGACCATAACATACTGTGACACTGTGCTTATAGAGGTAAATGTCAACACTCTGAAGCCTGTGGTATGGTGTTTGACTAAGCTATCCTGAACCAGCTGGCTTGGACAACAGCATGCCATCCTGAACACAAACAAAGCTGATAGGAAGTCAAAGACTTTGTACTGTGACCTGGACATGAAATCAGGAATGGAGAAGGGAGAGCTGATTGATGAAGAGGAGGAGTATGCTTACATGCCAAAGGGGCCATATGGGTGGTTGTCAGGGAGTGTGGCCAGCTCCCCCCAGTGATCCTGCAGACATTGTATGAATCCTCCTTTCTCACTCACAGTTGAGAAAGACCTGACTTGTTGGCTGCAGGCGCATGACATTCCCCCAAAGGTTGAGGCAGATCATACTCTCAAGTGACTGAGATCTGCCTTATCAACACCCATTGGCCCTGCAAACCTCAAGTCCTCCATTTTGTCTTGAACCAGCTCTGCCCATCTGCCAAAGAAAAGATGCATGAATGAGTGTATGCTCTCCGATGTAGCAGAGGAGATGGATCAGCAGATAGAGGAAGCAGTAGGGGATGTCCTAGGCAAGGAAGAGTTCTTTGCAGTGCCTTTGACTATCACTATGCAATCTGCCCCTCATGAGGCTTAGATATATGTTGTCAGGGCACCAGCTCATTGCTTGGTCAAGAGACATGACTAAGCCTTTATGACATGGAAGTAGCTGGTATACCTTGGCATGTGCTGGAACCTGCTGGAAGGATTGGATGGTCAGGTGACCTGCTGTGCATGGCTGTGCATGACCTCATATGGCCTCATCCTTGGCATATGACCTGATCACCTGACTAGGCTGAGTAGCAAGATGTCTAGCAGGTTCCAC